CAAAAAGCACAAAGGGTGGGGCGGTGTAGGCGCGACGGGTGGTGGGTCTCCATTCGCAGCAACCTCCACGTGGTGAGACCTGGGCAATCATTATTATTTGGCATATAATCGACAGTCATAATCACCTATGAGTGGATCGACGAGTTATATGGCAAATAGTATGAGCGAATTGGCTGCGAGTTTGTTCATTACTCAATTTTCGTGAAATTGTTTCACAATAAGTTAAATATTTTCAACAATGTCATATTCATAACAATTACAATACCTCTAGGGTAAATATGTTGTTAAATATTTCACCAGTTGTTTTATAATGCAAATTGTTAATAATTATAACTAATAAAAATCGGGATACAGAGTAACATTTAAGATGTGGATCTTGTAATGAAGCTTTAGAAATGAATAATTTGTATTTTATCATAAATTATTAAACAACAACCCTGTCTTAGTGTTTATGAGAAATATGAAATATTAATTATTTTATTTAAATGATTTTAATTACGTTTTGTGCGTAACTTCAGGACAGAACTGACCCTAGACGTGTGGCGCGAGAAGATTTTGGAATTTGTATTTTCATGAACGAAATTAGAAACTAGTACTTGTGAGAACGGGCATAAATTTTCTTTGTCACGCAATAAATACGAAGTTTAAAGAACGTAGAATAATACTCTCTAACGGCTGGGAACCAGTAATTAAAAGAACATTGTTAAAATCACATTTGTTTGCAACGGTTGACACTGTATCTCGTCATGCGTACCCCGGTTAGTTCACTTTGGACAGCTCGTACACCGTTATACGGACAGCTTTCGTTTAGCTGCAGCACTCAATTTGTAGCTGACAGTACGTAGATTAATCCACTCTTATTGATAATAACAATAAACGGCCAGAACACTGTTAAAATCGCATTTAATCGCGGAATACCACTATTTTTTCGACCGGTGGCGCCAACCGTGGCATTTCGCTCAAACTGCTAGCCAAATCATACCGACAGGTGAGTGAAAATTCCTAATGTTAGAAAAATGCGAATATCTCAGTAATTAAGCATTCAAAATGAACGCCGTTAGTCTCAAATTATTCCTGAGGGCTCAATGCATCGACTCAATACTGCAGAACTCCAGCATTAGTAAAATTATTTATGCCCGAATTATAGCTGCCCCTTATGCAGTGGCAACCCTGCTTGTAAAGTTTTCTACCGCATTTACACCGCTAAACGAGCATGGTTCTTCTCCGTTTTGCATTAGATACACCGTTTAAAGAACGTAGATTACTATTCTCTAACGGCTGCAAACGAGTAATCGCAAGAAAATTGTTAAAATCACATTTATTTGCAACGGTTGACACTATATCTCGTCAAGCGTACCCCGTTTAGTTCACTTTGGAAAGCTCTTACATCGTTATACGGACAGCTTTCGTTTACATAAAGCACTCAATTTGTAGCTGAAAGTACGTAGATTAATCCGCTGTCATTGAAAATAACAATAAACGGCCGGAACACTGTTAAAATCGCATTTAATCGCGGAATACCACTATTTTTTTGAACGGTGGCGCCATCCGTGGCGAATCGGTGAAACTGCTAACCAATTATATGGCTAGCAGTTTCAGCGATTCACCACGGATGGCGCCACCGGACGAACAAAATAGTGGTATTCCGCGATTAAATGCGATTTTAACAGTGTTCTGATTGTTTATTGTTATTATCAATGACAGTGGATTAATCTGCGTTCCTTTAGCTTCAAACTGAATGCTTGATCCAGACGTAACTTGTCCATAAAACGTTGGAAGAGCTATTTAAAGTGAACTAAACGGGGTACGCATCGCGAGATCGAGTGTCAACCGTTGCAAACAATTGAGATTTTAACAATGTT